CTGATTGTTCTAAGATAGAAAAGTTAATTTTGATTTATTATTATTTTAATAATATTGATGTCCTCAACAAGTAAATTATTGACCTCGTGGGGATTGGATCACACAGTTTAAAAGGACCGTACTTTGGTTGGATCAAAATCTAATATTTGGCTGAAGCAGGCTCCAGAAATACAGGGTTTGTTTTAGTTGTTTTCTAAAAAAATAAAATAAAGTAAAATGTTATAGTGAGAAAGGATCAAAGAGAATATAGAGAAGGGAGAGCCTCCTGTCACCATAGCCTTTAGAGACATTTTCTTCTTTCCCCCCACTTATATTAAAAATAGATTTCTTCCTCCTATAATATATCTTGATTACTGTTTCCCTTTCATCTACTACTCCTCCCACTTCCTCACTACCGCTCCTCCCATCCAGATTTACTCCCTTTCTGTCTCTCATTAGAAAAGAACAGGCTTCTAAGAGAAAACAACCAAACACAGAACAAAAACCATCACACTGAAATTGAACAAGGCAGCCCAGGAGAAAATAAAAGGGTCCTAAGAGCAAAACAAGAATTAGAGACCCACTTCTTCTTATACTCAAGACCCCATAAAAATACTAAGAAAATGTTTAACATCCTTAGTCATCAGAGAAATGCAAATCAAAACAACTCTGAGATTCCATCTTACACCTGTAAGAATGGCCAAGATCAAAAATACTGATGACAACTTATGCTGGAGAGGTTGTGGGGAAAAGGGAACACTTCTGCATTGCTGATGGGAATGCAAGCTGGTGCAACCCCTTTGGATGTCAGTGTGGTGATTTCTCAGAAAATTAGAAAACAACCTTCCTCAAGACCCAGTAATACCACTTTTGGGTATATATCCAAAGGATGCTCAATCGTGCCACAAGGACATGTACTCAACTATGTTCATAGCAGCATTGTTTGTCATAACCAGAACCTGAAAACAACCTAAATGCCCCTTAACCGAAGAATGGATAAGGAAAATGTGGTACATTTGCACAATGGAGTACTACACAGCAGAAAAATAATGACATCTTGAATTTTGCAGGAAAATGGATGGAGCTAGAAAACATTATTTTGAGTGATTTAACCCAGACACAGAAAGACAATTATCACATGTACTCACTCATAAGTGGTTTTTAAACATAAAACAAAGAAAGAAAACCAGCCTAAAAAGCACACTCCCAGAGAACTTAGACAACAATGAAGACCCTAAGAGAGACATACATAGATCTAATCTACATGGGAAGTAGAAAGTAGAAAAACACAAGATCTCCTGAGTAATTTGGGAGCAGGGGACCTTGGGGAGGGCTGAAGAGGAAAGGGGAGAGACAGGGAGGGGAGCAGAGAAAAATGTAGAGCTCAATAAAAATAAAAAAAAAACTAAATCAAAAAAGGTTGCAAAGGGTAAAGGGGAAAGGACTTGGAGAAGAGGAGGGAGAGGAAGCAGTGGTAGGGTTATTAGAAAAACTAAAAAAAAATACTAGGCTGAAAGCTAGAGGACCTGGTGCCAATCCATGTCAGTCAGTCCTATGCTTGTTGCTTCAGTCTCTGTGAGTTCATATGAAATTTGTCCATGCTGATTCAGAGGACCTTGTTCTCCCGGTGTCCTCCGTCCTCTCTGGTTCTTACATTCCTTTTGCCTCCTCTTCCCTGTGGTTCCCTGAGCTATCCCTGAGGTGAGGAATTTGATGGAGACACCGCATTTAGCTATGTGTTCCAAGGTCTCTCTCTTCGCATAGTATCTGGTTGTGTCTTTGTATTTGTTCCCATCTGCTGCAGAAGGAGGTTTCTAATGATGGCTGAATAAGGCACTGATCCCTGGTCTCTGGGCTACCTGCTCTCTGGTTTCTTGGTGACCCGACCAGAATTGGGTATGGGTTCTATCTTGTGGAGTGGAGTGGACCTTACATCAAATCAGACATTGGCTGGCTAGTCCCACAAGCTTTGTGCCACTATTGCACTAGCACATTTTGCAGAAAAAAAAAATAGCATTGTAGATCAAATGCTTTGTGGCTGGATTGATGTTTACATTTCTCTTTTGGTAGCCTGCAGAGTACCTTCCCATACCAAAGACACCATAATATGATGGTGAAGGTTCTATGTGGGCAACAGCTCACCCTCTCCATGTTCAATGAGTTGCATAGATGTGGTCTTTTGCAATGGGACCTCCTGTCCATTTGATGAGAGCAACATATTCTTTTAGCAACTACCTAGGTTTTTTGGGTATTTCCATGGGATCCCTTTGGCCCACAACTCAATAGGATATAACCCAGTCCCAGTACTGGAAGCTTTGTTTTGTGGTAAAGAGATGGCCAATTGGGACTTGGGAGGTTTTCTTCTTACTCAAGGGAGAATTGGGAAGAAAACACAAAGTGCAGACTTACAGACAAATTGAGGAGATGCTGTCCTGAATTATTCTACTCAGTACTTAATGCTGTTTCACACACTCAAATTCCTTTATGAGTATGAAGTTGTCTTCTTGCTTTATGCTTACTTTTTTCAAGTCTCAAGGTCCTGTGATTTAAGTTTTCACAGGTAGAAATTATAAGAAGTGACAGAAAACTCATGAGGCCAAATGACTCTTGGGAGTACCTGAAAAAAAAGTATTCACACAAGATCCAGAGCATGTGAGGCTGGAGAGATAAAGCACTTACTATTCAAGCATAAGGACCAAGGTTTGGCTCTCCAGAACCCACAAAGAAAGCTAAAAGGCATTGCAGTCATCTGTAATCCCAGCATTTAGGACAGACAGAAAACCAAAAGGAATTGAAGCCACCTATAATCTCAGCATTTAGGACTCAGACAGGGGATCCCAGGAACAAGCTGGCTAGCCAAACTAGCCAGAACTGGTGAGTTCCAGGTTCTCTCCGATCCTGGATCTAAAAATAAAGTAGAGAACAATCAAGAAAGGCACCAGCTATCAACCTCTGGCCTGCACATGCACATGCACTCATAAGTGCACTACACACACACACACACACACACACACACACACACACACGAACATATACCAAAACAGAGTTCTGAAAAGTTCTTCTCATCTTTTATAATTGCAGGTGTAATTTTTAAGTCACAAGTTGGAGAAAGCATTTAGTATATATAATTCAAAGAGATTCCAGGGAGCTCACGACTACCCTGCAGTGCTATGCAAATATTTGTGGGTTGGTGTAGATGTATATTTGTGAATTGCTTCCCTTAGGTCTCATTAGGCTCTTGGGGAGCTGTTTCTTCAGAGTTGGATGAGGTATAAGTTGCCTCGAGATCAAAGGAACTAACCCTTTGACTTGCGAATGAACCAAAAAGGAAAAAGGGGGGGGGGTGAGTTTGGAGTAGTACCTCAGGAAGTGGAAGGGTCTGGCATTCTCCCAGGGACTAGTACTGAGAAAGGAAACTTCATGACAGCCTAGTCACCAGGGAAATGGGAAAAGGTTCTATTGGAGTGGAGATTGATGGATGGAGAGAGGAAAGTTGGGCCTGATACCAAAAAGAAGTTTCTAGCATCAGTCAGCTGCGAAACAAAATGGACTTCCTTTTTCCTACATGTTCTTCCAAGCCTCATAAATCCTCAGCTTGTTTCTCAACCCACATCCTGCAGAATGAAACCAGAAGAGCAGCCCTACTTCACTCTGGACCAGTGATACCAGGGATACAGCTGGTGAAAAATCCTATGATCTTTCCCAAGGTCCACACTGGGCCCCCAGTTGCCCCTAAGTGCTGCTGTTGCCCCAGGTTTCTCTGAATCCCCACGAATAGGATTACATAGCACCTTGGTGATCACTTTTAAATCTCTTCCACTAGAAGTTGTATAGAGTTGGCTGACCTGTGCTGGGTTTGCTGCTGCATTGACCTAATGAGAAGGCTGTTGTCATAGAAGGACTAATGTTGTGATGAATCACTATGACAAAAAGTACCTTGGAGAGGAAAGGGCCTAATTTCACTTAAACATCTATATTACTGTTTGCCGAGGGAAGTCAGGTCAGCAACTCAAGCAGGGCAGGAACCAGGAGGAGGCAGGAGCTGATGCAGAAGTCACAAAGGAGTACCACTCTACTGGCTTGCTCATCCTGCTTTCTTGTAGCACCCACGACCACAAGTCCCAGGATGTCACCATCCACAGTGAACAAACCTCTCCCACTTCAATCTCAAGTCAAGGAAATGCCCCCACAGATTTCTCCACAGAACAATTAGTGAGGAATTTTCTAAGTTAATGTTCTCTCTTCTCAACCGCCTCTAGCGGTTGACATAAAACTAGTCAGAGTAGCTTCTCTGCTTGTCTCATTTGTTGAAATAAGCAGACTCTTCCCCAAATGTTTCCCCCATAGCAATGGCAGAGATGCAGGGAACGAACGGAAAACTTCAAACTTACTCCTGCGACAAGCACATTGTCATTTGTGCTCAAGTTAACAAGTCATATGACCAAACTTAAAGCCACATGGCCAAGCAGTATATTCCTCCTTTTTAGAGAGAGAGAGTAGCTGCAAAGTCACTTTGGCTTGGATATGGCCAAGAGAAGTATCAGAGGCAAAATGCAGTCAATATGTCAGTGTTGATGAAGTCACCTCTTAGTACATCATCAGCTACCCTTCTGTGAGTTTCCCAGTTCATGAGAACCAAGCTTGAATGACTGGTGTCATTCAGGAGAGGGTAAGATGGGGGATCAATCCCTGGTTAATTTTGTTTCTGCCTCACTGCTCTCAATAACACACCATGTGCATGTTCAGTGCATAAGATTCCAGACAAAAGCACCTTCGTTGCAGTTCATACAGACCAGAATTTGCAATATAAGAATCTTCAGTGATTTGTCCCAGGGGAAATGCTCAAAGGACACATGTAATTCAAAGTGAGCTTTTGATATAGATAGCATATTGAGTCCAATTTTGTTGGTTATCCCATACAAAAAGAAAAGAAGTTCTCCATGTTTCAATGTTTACAGCTTAAATAACCTAAAATTCTGTCAACATTGTCTGTGATAGCACCTGTCTGGTTGGCATTGCAGGTCTGTGTAACTCGGCTGATAGCTGGATGATTGTGCCCAACATCAAGCAGAACCACTACACTGTGCATGGCCTACAAAGTGGCACCAAGTATATCTTCATGGTCAAGGCCATCAACCAGGCAGGCAGTCGCAGCAGTGAGCCTGGGAAGCTGAAGACGAACAGTAAGTGCTGTGAACTCAGCTGAGCCGTCATCTCACATTTGCTCATCTCGTGGCTAACACTCCTCCTCCTTGCTTTTCTTTTTCCTCTTTTGTCTTGGGCATCACCCACAGGCTCAGAAAAAGCAAGGAAAGAGCCAGTGTGAAGTGCTGACGTTCCCAGCAGCTCCCTCTGGGTGTCAAAGTTGATTCTGTGTCTTCTAGGTCATGTGGCCATTAGTTTCTTTGCATATAGTTGCTCCCATTTCTTGAGAAAACAGTCCTGAAGAAGTCTTGTGAGAAATTGAACAGGTGCCTATAAGGCCTGATGCAGAACACACTTTGTAAATGTTAGATAGGATTGTTTTCCATAGTAGAAAACAGGTTCATAACTCTTTCTTCAGAAATTCTGTTTTATTTGAAGGATCTGTCTGGGTCTGTGATTCTCAGTCATGGGCAGTTTTGTCTTTCCTCCCATAACCCCAGTCCATGTAGCATTTAATAATGTCTGGAGACATTCTCCTGCATTATCACAACTGAGGAGGATGCTGCTGGCATCATATGAGTGGAAGACAGGCATATTAAACATCTATGGCATAGAGGATAGCACTCAACACAATGAGTGGTGCAGCCTGTCCTTGTGTCTCGTGGTTCTGTCATCTTACTGTTACTGTCACTGTCTCTGTCTACATGTGTTTTGTTTTAACCTCTTTTCTTTCTTTACATCTTTTTGATCTAGAAATATTATGCTATGTCAATATGGTGATATGTTGTGGGGTTGCCAGTCAACAGAAACAATTAATGAGTTCTCAAGAGGAACTCTCATTTAACCATATCCTTGTCTCCCAGAGCATGGTAGCACATGAGTTGATCTTAGGACAAGCGAAGGGTAGAAGAAGAACTCTGGATTAAGCATGAGAAAGCTGAAGTTCTGCCACATGTTTTCCATGTGGCCATGAGACTTGTCTTTTTATATATATATATATTTTTTAGACAAAACCATTTTATTTCATGGTGATTGTAGATTCCCAGAAAACCTGTAGCTATTACAGAGAGGCCTGTACACCCTGTACTCAGCTTACCCTAGAGTCAGCGTCTTACATGACCCTGACTCATTTTTCACAACCTAAGAAGTTAACGTTAGTACATTTCTGTTGCCTAAGTCCTAGGCTTTATGCAGATTTTACAGTTCCTTTAATAGGATCCAGTCTAAGAATTCGTCTCACATTTGGTGGTTCTTCACATTCTCCCCATTTTTTAAGAGAAGATTTTGGTTCTTCATTTTTAAAACAGGAAAATTTAGCCTCATTTATACGTTGATAAATTTGAAACAACTTTGAGAATATTAGAATAATATTACGTTATGCTTTGCTAACAGTCACGGAGCACATGAAAATTAACTTATACATACTTAGGGCAACAGCTTGTAATTAACACTCGAGCATGCATTTCATCTCTCCAAAGCTCGTGGAGCTCCTATAGCAAATTTTCGATGCTGTGCACCAGGCTGAGGACACTGTGACAACATTTAGCTCCTACAGATGGTCTTCTCTCAAGGAGACTGTAGACTGCTTGAGAAGACTGAACACTAAGCCTTAGTTATCATCGCATTTCTGAAGTCTGTAATGGCAGCAACTCATGAAAGTGTAGAACATTCAAAAGAACATCACCCTGTATAGCCATGGTAGCTTTTCAGGGTAAGGAAAGATTAAGGGATGTGAAGAAGAGAGAATATCCCACGACAAAGGAATAACATGTACAAAGGCCCAAAGAAATGATCATATCTGTGCAATAGAAAAGGAATCAGCATAGTAAAAATAAGACATAAGTGGACAGGTTAGCTGAACAATGAAGCTAGAGACAAAACCCGTATTGTAAAACTAGGCACACTGGTGCATACCTGTAATCCCAGCACTCAGGACAGTGAAACAGGATCCCAAATTCCAGACCAGTTTAGCCTTTGTTGTGGGACAAAGCCCAGTAACACCACACCACACAAACACACCACCCACCGACACACACACACATACCAGTTTTAAAAAATATAAACTAGCTAAGCCTGTTCTCATCGGCCTGTAATCCTACCTACAGGAAGAACCTAAATTCAAGGCCAGCTTAGTCTACAGAACAAGTTCAAGACCAGCCTGAGCAATTTAGTGAGACCCTCTCAGATATGGCTTGGGATATTACTCAGTTGTTGTGATCCAGCTGCCCTCACTCCCCCTGACTGACAGCCGAACTTCCTTGTGGTCTGTAATTGACAAGGATGTTTGTGTCCTTTCTGGCTGATGGGTCTCCACAGAAGGAGTAGAGATATAAAAGGTTGCTGGGCAAGATAAAAGTTGCTGTTCTTCCACCTGAAAAGGAGCCTCCGTGTCTCAATCCCGGCACCCCCCACCAGTCTTGGCTATCTAGGCTGCACTGACCTCAGCACTCAGTGACAGAGTGATTGACTACAATGTGTGGAGCCATGGTTCCCATCCACAGGATCACAAAACAAAAACAAATAAAACCAAATGGTAAACCCATTATGGGTCATGAAACAGTTGGTTTTTTGAGAGCAGTGTTTGATGGGAGATAGGTTGACAGGTTTATATGGTAGGGGTTGGATGAGGATCTAAAAAACATGATGTGATGTGGTGAAGGGATTAAGATGAAGGAAGATTGACAGCTGGGGAATGTGTCCAGAGATTATTATGAGAGTTGTCCAAGCAAAAGAATAGTAGACAGGATAAGGTCATATCCTCTACAAATGGTCTGATGAATTAAGTTCTTTAGTAACACAATCATTAACTTCCTTCTCAAGCTAATTTGTCTTCACCGAAGCCAAAGCCTAAAAGTTGGTAAGAATGGGCAGTGGTTTGTTTTTTGAAAGACCTCTGTAGCCCAGACAGAATTGGCTCAATGAGAACACAAAGCTTGGGTCCCACTGAAGCTGGTGGGCCCCTGCTATGTGTGAGAGTGGCTGAGAGAGGGGGCTAAGGCAAGCAGGACACTGCAGGCAGTTATCCATTGCATGTCCCTTCTTTCTGAACATTCTGCTGCTATTCCTCACTGGCATTAGGCCAAACAGCACTCAGGCCTACATAAATGGTGAGCTCCAAGATGAAATTTTTTTCCCTCCTCTGCCCATTAGTGTCAAATGATTTTTACTCACATTTGTTATTCACCTGTAAAAATTGGAATATTTTAAGAGAGAGCATCTTTGTTCTCTTCTGAGCTTATTCCATGACTTATCCCTGACAGTTGCTGGCATGAACATCCATAGAGACTTTTATATTTTTACAAGCCAAGCCAAGTTTAAACTTTAAAATGTAAACTATAGGGATAATCCAGTAGGTCTGATAGCCTCTGAGAGCTACCTTCTCGGTCCTTGAGGGCTTTTTTTTCTTTTAAGTCAGATTTATATTCTTTTATCCTTTGTATTTAATTTATTTTTATTATACAGATATCAATTTTATATCCAAGGATAAGCCCCCCAAATTAGAAGTTTAAGTTTTTCGTAACACAAAAATTATACATTAGTATTAAATTTAAGACTGTATAAGACTTATGTTCAAACATCCATAAAACATTGAAGGTCTCAATAAGATACAAACGAGTAAAAAATTCTTTTGATAATTTCAGATATGAGTACTGTATTTACATTATTCTTCCTCTCCCTCTTCTCCTTCTAATTCCTTCCATATCCTTCCCACCTTTTCTCAAATTCTTAGCTTCCTATTCTTTAATTGTAAGTCTTACACAAACACAGATGTATACATGCGTGTGTGTGCATATATATGTATGTTTATAAATGCCATATGCGGAGATCATTTAGTATTACTCACATGTGTTTAAGACTGACCTCTTTGGATTGGCTAACCTATCAGAGGGCTTGCCCTTAGAGAAGACTGTTTCTCCCTTTCTCAGCAAACATCAATTTGCCTCTGTCTCTCTTCGAAGGGTGAAACTTTGTGGGAAATTTCCAGTCCACATTGGCATGTCAACTGGCTTCCCTTTGATATCTACAGAAATATAAAACAAGGATCAGTAAGCTGTAGTTCAGGGGCCAAATCTAAATATCTACATTTATAAATAAAGGTTTATTTACATATACCCATACCCATTCATTTATCAATTTGTGATTACTTCCTCACTACAAAGACAAAGTCATAAAAGAAACCACATGGCCTACATAACTGAAAATATTTATTTTCTTACCCTCTGCAGAAAAAGTGTGCTTGTCACTGACCTAAAGGCAAAAATTTTTGAGGTTCTGGTGTTATGTTTAAATCCAAGCAGAGCCACCCATATTTAAGTGAACACAGTTCTCCATGAGGTCTCCAGCCCAAGCATGCATTGCTTACATTCATATTTACCAGGCTTTTTTCCTATGATTTCATGGGACTTTCATACTGAGCAGAAGGCCTTTTCTAACTGCAAGAGTGGTTGGGAAGTTGGACAGTGTGTTATCACTACCCAATTGTAATATTTCCTGTTTGAAAATGTTCTGTTCCTTATGTGACAATAGCCAATTGGCTGTACTCAGTCCTAATATTGAAGTGACAGAGAAGTAACAGTTACATCAAAATCCCCATAGATGACTGTGCCAGGATTTTTAATGTTAAACTTTTCAAAACACAAATGTGAATAATGAAAAATAATTGTATCTATTATATGTATTAATAAATCCAGAAATAGAAAACTTGAGCATTACTCTCATTTACCCTTGCTGAAAAACATTTTAAATATATAGTCCCTAAAAAGTGATACTTTTCCTTTTACCAAGCTCAGAACGATGTGTTTGAGTGTTTAGAACACTCTACATTCTGACTTGAAATCTTGATTTATTTGTTCTTTATTCTGGAGTCTATTTAGCATGGGTGTAATTCAAGCCTGATTATATATTGAAGTCCTTGAAAATAAGGTCTTCATTTTTCTCCTCCTTTCCAGGATGTTCTTCATCCAGAATGCACTTGTACCACAATCCCCCTATCCTATCCAAGGTTGATCCTTGCCCACTCCTTTCTGAACAGTTACAGAGCAACACTGGACTCCTCGCTAGAAACTAACTAGAAACTCAAGGAAGCACAGCCAACACTGCTCTTCCTAGAACATAAAATTCCTGCATAATTTTTTGAACATCATGAAAAGTATAAATAAATAAATAAATACCTTTTAAAAACTGTTTCAAAATATTAAATTGCTATTAGAATACAAGATACACTTTTGTGGTAGGAAGTATAGCTCAAGGAAAAATGGCTTATTCTAGGCTTTGCCTCTTCGTCTGTATTTCATGTGTATGGATCTTTTGCCTGTATGTGTGTCTGCAAACCATGTGCATGCCTTATGCCCAGTGAAGTCAGAAAAGGGCATCAGATCTGCTGGAACTAGAGTTACAGATAGTAGTGAACTGCCAAACCCAGGCCCTCTGGAGCAGTTAGTGCTCTTAACCACTATGCTATCTCTTCATCCCTTGCTTCAGAATTTTAAGTCTGACTGTGAAGCTATACCATTTGTTACATTCCAATAAGCAGTACTCTTTCACTTCTTTTTCTTTTGTGAACTTGTTTCTAGGTCAGCCGTTTAAGCTGGATCCCAAATCTGCTCATCAAAAACTGAAGGTATCCCATGATAACCTGACAGTGGAACGAGATGAGTCATCATCCAAGAAGAGTCATACGCCTGAACGCTTCACCAGCCAAGGAAGTTACGGAGTGGCTGGAAACGTGTTCATTGATAGTGGCCGACATTACTGGGAAGTGGTCATAAGTGGAAGCACATGGTAGGCAGAATCGATTTTCCTCCAACAGTAAAAAGCACAAACTATTCTGTTCTTTGTCAAGGATATCAATAAGCTGCTTTGTACTTTATCAAGGTTATACGTTTATAATCAGCATCCATTCTGAAGAGTAAAACCTACCCCTGCAATAATGCTACATAGCAAACATCCCTCAAATCAGTGTGTCTTCAAAGCAACCATTTACTAATGCTATTAAACACATATATTTGTGGGTTAGCTGATAAGGATTAATCTCAACTGGATTTATACTTTAATCTACAGGTTGGGTCTAGGTCAATTTTATGTCTCTGTTCCAGCAATGCAGAAATCTAGCATGGTAGTACAGGCCTATAACCCCAGTATTCATGATGCAGAGGTAGGAAAAACTAGAGTTCAAAGTCATCTTCATGTGTGTGTATGTATACACACATGTATAGAAAGAGATAAAGATATAGTGAGTTCAAGGCCAAAAGAAAAAGAGGAGGTGATGTTATTCTCATTTTACAAATGACATGACTAAGGCATGGCCCCAAAGTCATAAAATTCAGAGTTGGTAGTTACAAACTCTGTAGTCAGGGGTCTAACTTGTAACTAGGAGCCCATAAATAAAGGACAAGAAAGTTAATATCTTGATTTTACAGGTCAGGAATTTTTTGTCCCAAGTACTCAACCTGGGGCTGTAATAGTGGGAAAGCAGCCACAGACAATGCATGTACAAATGGGTAGGACTGGGTGCCAATAGAACTTCATTTGTGAGAATAGGCAAGGGGCCAGAGTTGACCCCCCGGTTGAAGTTTGTTGATCTCTGCTCTAACCACCATAGTATGCCTTACTCACTGAATGGCGATATAGCTTTGAAAAGTTATAATTATGCTTTAACACATGAACAAACATACTTAGTGAGTGATAGCTGACATGAAAGAAGGGAAGTTGTGGAGAAGGATTAAAGGGGGAGAGGGCGGGAGATGAGAGCAGTAAAAATGACTAAAATTCATTGCATAAATATATGAGACTGCCAAGTAATAAAAAATTAAAACAAAAATAAAACTTAAAATCAATATTCAAAAGTACAAAACCTGAAATTCATGAGGACACCAACAGTGTTTGTTTTAATCCAAGAATGATAAGGCACTTCTAAAACAAGTCATTTTCATATAAATCCTTACAAATAATACAATGTACACAAATTGCACATAGCTGAGTACAAGTCAAGCCAAATCTAAGGAACCTTGCTCAAGTGGTTATCTCCACTCTCTTAATAATGGTATCTGTATTAACCTAGCAGGTAGTTTTTCATCTCACATTATCCTCCTGATTCTCTATGCCTAGACCATTTTCTTGTTTTCTTCTTTTCCACAGTGTAACTTATTTTTATTTTTTATAATTTTTATTGGTTTTATTGAGCTATGCATCCTTCTCCACTCCCCTCCCTTCCTACCCCTCCCCTTCTGCCCTCTCCCGTGACCCCTTCACCTACACTCCCAATTTACTCAGGAGATCTTTTTTTTCCCCCCTCAGGAGATCTTGACATCTTCCTATGTTGATCCTTGTATGTCATTCTTAGGGTCCTCCTTGTTGCCTAGGTTCTCTGGGGTTGTGAGTTGTAGCCTGGTTTTTTCTTTGCTTTATGTCTAAAAGCCACTTATGATTGAGTACGTATGATATTTGTCTTTCTGGGTCTGGGTTACCTCACTCAATACCTTTTTTTCTAGATTCATCCATTTCCCCGCAAATTTCACGATGTCATTATTTTTTACCACTATGTAGTACTCCATTGTGTAAATGTGCCACATTTTCCTTATCCATTCTTCAGTTGAGGGGCATCTAGGTTGTTTATAGGTTATGACTATTACAAATAATGCTGCTATAAACATAGTTGAGCACATGTCCTTGTGGCATGATTGAGCCTCTTTTGGGCATATACGCAAAAGTGGTATTGCTTGGTCTTGAGGTAGGTTGTTTCCTAATTTTCTGAGAAATCACCATACTGATTTCCAAAGTGGCTGTATGATCATTTTCATGTTCTAATATTCTGTCAGATGATGAGGAAGAAGTCCTACTTTTTCCAAGGCTAGGGGATTCATTGGCACTTGAAATTTATGTGTGTTCCTTTGTGTGTGTATACATATGGAGGCCAGCTACTTCCTCAACTGCAGCCCACATTATTTTTTTGAGACAAGGTCTCTCACTGAACCTGGAGTTTAAGGATTCTGCTAGATTGGCTTGTGACCAAAGATCCTTTTGTCTCCATTCCTCCAGTTCTGGGATCATAGGCACAGACCACCTGACCTAGCATTTTTCTCTTTCTCACTTTTTAAAAATTTTATTAAAACACAATTACTTCATTTCTCCTTCACTCTCCTCCTTCCCTCCTCTACTCTGTCTACCTACTCCTCCCAAATTCACGATGCTTCCTCTTATTTAACCATTTTAAGCCATTGTGGTTACACACACATACACACACACCCTGCTGAGTCTGTTCTGTGTTGCTGCATGTATGTTTCTTGGTCTGACCACTTAGTATTAGATAACCAATCAGAGGGCTCATCCATAGGGAAGACTGATTCTCCCTCTCAGAAGTTAATTGCTTATAGGTTTTCATTTATGGGTGGGACTTCACATTTCCCCCATCTATACTATAATGTTTACTGTTGTTGAAATTGTTCAGGTCTTGTTTATATAGTCATGTTGCTAGAATGTCGTGAGTATAGCATCACTGTCATAGTTAGCTTTTTATATGGAACTTGAAGTACCAGGCTTGCGTTCTCTGAATCAATTGGCACTTGAAATTTTTAGCTATGTTGAGCAAGTTAAAAGCACAAAGGGAAAAAGAATTCATGTGCAGAAAAGCAAACATTTCTAGTTAATTGGTGTCCTTTATTAATCTGGTATTTCAGAATCTAGTGTTTAAATGATTATAACCCCATTAATTACTTGTGATAAATGATACCTGATCATTATGATCTCATTGCCACTGATAAATAGTATGGAAAATTGCATCAGACCACTTTAGCTACATAAACACAGATCAGTATTACCTTTAAAACATGTTCCAGATGTCAAAACTAATTCGTGTGGGAAAAATAAATTGTACAATTAGTTGCCACACATTGGGTCTTTACATGCATACCTGATTGTGTCAATTTAAAAAAATCACATGTAGAAAATAGATTTGCATTTCCTAGATGGAAAGAGCAAGGAAGCATTGCCCCCTACAATTAAATGCCTGTGACATACAACAGTTAGTGACACACACATATTTTTTATGAAATATATGCTTGATTTTAAATTAACATGTACATTATGATACATATAATGGGACATGTTAACATTGCTCTGTGAAGCACAGTTTTTGTATTTGTAATTGCTTTATGTCTCACTGCATCACTTAATGGAACATTATATTCTGCCTGCACCTTTCAAGTTCAATGAAATTATGTACAAAGTTTCACAGATTAATGATAATATAATGATACTTTCCCTTGCCTAATGGACTGTACACTTGATTTATTTTCTTGCTGTCAAATGCTGCTAACATGCACTTGGTATTAATGAAACAGTGTTAAGTAAGGTAGTAATAATGGGCTCATACCAATATTACTAGACAGGAATTTGAGAGGGCAGCATTAGATTTCTGTACTTTTCTTCTAATTTTAACTTTCTGCTTTTCTAAATGAAGTCAGCCCTCCCTGGTGAAGCTATGTCAAAGGGTTAAATGGAGGATAAAATTGGAAGTCAACATTAGCATTCTTTAATTTAAAAATGGTCTGCAGCATCAAGAAAGAAACAATACAGCCATTGTTATTTGGCGATGCAAATTTAAGTTCCATGTAATCTGAAAAATTAAAATAGTGTCTGCTGAGTCATAGAGTACAGCTTCAAGGGAGATATTTTAAATTGAAAAATGCATATCATGGAGTTAGAGAGATGGTTTAGTTGCTAAAGTGCCTGCTATGCAAGCATAAGGGCCTGAATTATGATCCCAAGTATCCACGTAGAAGCCAGGTATTAGTTGCACATGCCTGTAACTCAAGTTTGGAGGTGGGTGAACACAGACAGGAGGATTCCCCAGAGCTGACTGGCTAAACAGCTTAACCAAATTAGTAAGGTCTGGATTTAATAAGAGAAGCAATAGAAGACAACACCCAGTATTAAACTCTGGCCTTTCATGTATATGCATGGGCATGGGAGCACATACAGAGAGAGAGGGGGAGGGAGGGAGGGAGGGAGGGAGGGAGGGAGGGAAGGAGGGAGGGAGGGAGGGAGGGAGGGAGGGAGGGAAAGGAGGCGAATATTCCAAAAATGTATTGGCTTTCTCTTAGCAAATAAACAGAAGTCAGTCAAGGATCTACAAAGATAAATGGGGGTGGAAAACTTATGTCTGACTCCAGTGCATGAAGTCACAAGGACCTGGTGTCCTCTGCTAAAGCAGGTGCATCCTGAAGTCTTCTAAAGCTTCATGACACCTCATTCCCGCTGCCTGCCACTAGGAAACAGTGTCCCTGATCCTCTTCCAACTTCAGGATCTTGTGCAAGGATATTGCAATTGCATAATCTGATCCAGACTCACACAAAAATGGGCCTTCTAGGTAGCACAACCCAGAACTGTCTGTGCACAGAGATTGACAGGAGGGACACGAAGTTGCTGTGTTGACTACAGCAGGGCTGGCTCACTGACTTAATGGATTGCCAATATATCTTCTAGAGTTGTAGCATGTTTTCAAACACACCTCTCTTAAATCTATTGTATTTTAGATCTAACATCTGATTTTTCTGTTTAAAAATGTTATTTTAAACAAAGACCAGTGATGTTTCTCTTTCTGCTTACAGTCAGGTATTAGATGTCAATATCCGATTACACTTGTTTCTGCTCTAACATATCAAAACTTGAACTCAGGGTTTTTCACTCTTGATTAATAGTGATGTGTTTGGCTTATGATAATAACTGTGAAATGTTTTAAGTATTAAAGGGCATGTCTCAGTTACTTAAAAAGAGAATAAGAAGCTTTGAATATTATAGGAAAATTCTTTAGAATTTTTATTTTTGAGAAATAAGAAAGGATATTTAGAGTAATGGAATAACTATCTGCTCAGTAGAATTTAAAATATTTTTTAAATTCCTTTAGAATTTCAAACAATGTATTTTTCATACAATATATTTCCTCAACCCCTTCCCTTACAACCTTATAAACTCTCCTATCCCTTCCCACACAGTTTTAAAATTACTTCTCTCTTTTTTTTTCCTTTTTGCCACATTGAATCCATAAGATTTATGTTTAGGTGTGTGTGTGTGTGTGTGTGTGTGTGTGTGTGTGTGTGTGTGTCAGAAGAAGGTGTTGGATCCCTTAGAGCTAGAGTTACAGGTGGTTGTAGCTGTGAGCCAGACTCAAATCCTCTGGAAGATTAGCTTGTATTCTTCTCTTTTTTACATAGTAATCTCAGTTTACCCTCCCTCCCTTCCCACTCCTCCCACCTTCGCATTTCCCTTCCCCCCATCTGCTCCTCAGAGAGCATAAAGCTTTTCATGGGGAGTCAACAAATTCTGTCACATCACCACCTTGAGACAGGGCTAAGAACCTCCCTTTTGTGTCTAGACTGAGCAAGATTTTTCCTTATAGGAAATGGCCTCCAAAAAGTCAGTTCATTAGGGATTGATCCTGGTCCCACTGCCAGTGTTCCCACAAACTGCGCAAGCTGCCCACTGTTATCTGCTTTCAGGGGGGCTAGATGGGACTTATGCAGGTTTCCTAGTTGTCTGTCTGGAGTGAGCTCCCACTAGTTCAGGTCAGCTTTTTCTGTGGGTTTCCCCATCCTTTTCTTGACCCCTTTTTTCTTGTTATCACTCCTCCCTCTCTTCAACAGAAATCTGGGAGCTCTGTCGGGTTGCTAGCTTCACCACTAACCACTCTGCATCTGCATCTCTGCATCTGCTTTCATCTGTTATTGGATGAAGGTTTTAGGAGCTCCTGTCTATTTCCCCTTCCTAGGCAGATCCTTGTATGTCTCTCTCTTTGTTACCTTGCATAAAACAAAGGATGACCAGCATGTACTCTTTATAATCCATTTCTACAGCCCTCTCAGAGATATTTTTAAAACTTTAACACGTAGTAGGAAATATAATCAGAAAGGCAGTGCTGTATTGCACGATTTCTGATGAGAGGAAGATGGCATGAAATGTTAACTGAAGTTGTGGCCTTTTGATTCATCCTAGGTTTAAATTCTGATTCCTGTACATACTGTTAGTGTGTCATTAGGTAGTATGATAAAATAATAGTTGTAGAATATCACATGCCAGCCATTGTGATTAGGATTTAAAAATACATTTTTCTTTTTCTCTTTTACTTGGGTATATGGAGACTATACTTGTTCCTGTATTATAGATGAGACATTGAGATTGGATGAAGACAATGGACTTAACCTTATAGCTGGAAATCATTTTCCCTGTTTGCTTTTGCCAAAGTTCATTCAAAGCCATGGACAAACAGAAGATATGATAACAATCCTAAAGTTTAAAGTCTGTTGAAAGAGTAAGCTTGTATAGAATCATGCTTTCCAGTATGGCAGCCTTGCTCCACATGTGTAGTTGTTACAATACACTTAATGAAAATAAAAATCCATTACAAGCAGGGCTAATACCTCAAGTCCTATCACTCAGAAGGCTGAAAGCAGAAGGTTGTGAGAGTTTGAGGCTAGTGTGGGCCACAGTGTGAAACTATTTTTCAAACTGAATAGACAGACAGACAGACAGATGATAGATGATGATGATAGATAGATAGATAGATAGATAGATAGATAGAAAGAAAGAAAGAAAGAAAGAAAGAAAGAAAGAAACAGGCTCTTCCATACAAATGCTGAGGTTATGCTGATAATCCCATGGGAGGGAATGAACAATAAATGTATTTCTGACACTAACCTTCCTGAACATCATAGCTCAACCTAGCCTACCTTGAATGTTCTCTGACTACATACATGAGTCTACAGTCAGACTAACTTCTTTAACACAAAGCCCTACTTGTAATAACATCTTGATTATCTCACATCCTTTATTGTCTTCAGTACAGTGTAGTGTATAGTATCAGTTTCCTCTCATGATGCCCAATGTCTTACAAAAGGATGACATTGTATATCACAAAATCAGAGGATAATTTTGCAACTCTACATTGCCTTTAATAAGATAAAAAAACCCAAAACTTAAATCCAGGCACCCCAAATCATAGTTTGTCTGTAAATTTAAGGTTGATTTCATAGGCTCACAGCCACAGTTCAAATGCCCAGTAGCTATATGGGGTTTACGATGACTGTAGTGAACAGAGCAGAACATTTCAATTACAGAAAGGTCTGAGTTGATCAGCCACTGGTCCAGAGAATTTCATGTGCAGGCATGCACAAAAAAAGAAACAAAGCAGTATAGAGGAAAGTCAGGATTCTCTTGCAACAATTAAGCTGAAAAAAAGGATTGTAGGCCAACATAGTGGCTGCCTTCCACCTCTTTGTGTTTGGTAAGGACAGTGAAAAGTATTTAGATTTAAATACTCTTCTAGGGAGAGATCAGGAACAACAAATAATCACACTTTAATAGCCCTATGGTACACAAAACAAATTTTACTCGCATGCTATGTGGTTTTTTTTTTTTATCACTGCTGTTTTGTCTCTGCAGGTATGCCATTGGCCTTGCATACAAATCGGCCCCCAAACATGAATGGATTGGGAAGAACTCTGCTTCCTGGGCTCTCTGCCGCTGCAACAATAATTGGGTGGTTAGGCATAACAGCAAGGAAATCCCCATTGATCCAGCCCCCCACCTCCGGCGCGTAGGCATCCTGCTGGACTATGATAATGGTTCCATCGCTTTTTATGATGCTTTGAACTCCATCCACCTCTATACCTTTGATGTGGCGCTTTCACAGCCGGTGTGCCCCACCTTTACTGTGTGGAACAAGTGTTTGACGATTATAACGGGTCTTCCCATCCCAGACCATTTGGACTGTACAGAACAGCTATCTTGAGCATCCAGTCCCAGAGCAGCTCTGAGGAATAACAAAGGTAGAGGCTGTTTAGAGGATTGAGAAACTAAGCCTTCGAGAGTGTGATTAAATCTCCCCAGTTTGTCCAGAAACCAGCTCAGATAGGGCTCAAAATGAGAAATTTCACTTCTTTTATTGTGTTTTGTATTAAGTGCAGGCTTTAATAATTTCTTTGATTTTTTTTGTATTTAGAGGAAAATCTATAGATTATTTATAAAAGGAACATAATCTGGATTGCAGCTTGTAAGAATCACTTGGTTTTGCGCGTGAAGAGGCCCATAAGTTTACCAGCCCTTTACCAGTTTCATTTCATCAGTGTATGGGCTTGCAAAAACCCTTCTGTAGACTTGTGTGTTTATTCACTTTCTCACATTCTGTTTCGTACTGAGACCGTGTTAGGTCCTGTCACTTAGAATAACAGTATGCAGCTATTTAAAAAGCAAAAAGTCATTTAGAATCCAGTAAGGAAGTAAACAGGCTTCCTTTCTCTGGCTGAACTTGAGATATCTTAACTGTGATGTCAGAAACTTGTATTGGATCAAATAGTAGGGGGAATAAGGGAGAAGGAGAGAATTAACTTTGAACCTCAAGTTTAGTTGTGACTGATGGGATGATCCGGAGAAGAAAAAGTTTTCTTAACCCTTTGGTCATGTTTTCACCCATTTCTCCAGGGCTGACGCTTTTGGGCTAGCATCATGAATGAGATTACAATTGAACCTTGTTATTTTGAATCTTACAGATGATTCAAGAATTCACGCTGATTTGGATTTTATCAAAAGAGGAATTCTGTTCCATGGTATAAAACTGTTTCTCATTTCCTCTTACTAGTTATATTAGGCCTGTGAAATTCTTTCGCTACATTTAATAGGTGCCCTATTTTGCCCTGCCACAAATCGAGCTTTCATTTTCTTTCTGGGTCTATGGAAATTAACATGTTCCATTACAAATTCCAATCCCGTTTTCAATTGATTTTGTTCTCTAGGACATCAGCACATGGCCTTGAACACTACCATGTCCAAATGTAAGTCACCAAAAACAGTATGTATGAAAAATGATACGACACACTACAGAAAACACTCACCACCAGCATACATGCTTCTAAAGCGACACTCTTTAGGAAGCACACTTTGAAAGATGTAGACATCCCCTTATATCCTAGTATAGTTTATCATAGAGTTGGAAGATAAAATTTCAAATTTACTGTTCCAGCAGGGGAATCGGTTAATAGGACTTGCTAATAAAATTTCCGATAAAATTCTTTTCACACTGATCAGATATAGTGCAATGATCCTTAGATTAAGACTTCCTCAGGTGGTCTTTGGCATAGGACATTGGCATGGGTTCACTTGCTAAATGGTTTAAATGGTTTAATTGCTAAAATATTTATCTGGGCTACCACGTCAGCCAGCCATTGACTGAAAGACTGGTAGATTGAAGAATTGGGTTTGTTTTTTAATCAAATCGACCATTTCCTGAAATTACTCACTACACTCTCCATTTAAGCATCATGTGGTCACAATTGATGTGCTTGCCAATCTGGGCTTCATGGAAGACAAAGCTTCTGTGTCTTTTTGTCTCTTCCCTGGCAGATGCTGTCCTTTTTCTTAATGGATATATTTTATATATTTACTATATTATTTATACCCAGATGAATATTTTGATAGCAGCTTAAGACAATTTCCCATCTTAAAAATGGACATCTCAGTGGAAAAAAAATCTTCATTTTTCTCTAGGAACTTTTTAGGACTTTTGACAGTACAAAAATAGGTCTTTGCCTTCCCTGAATAAACTGAAAAGTTGTCTCAGTCATTTTTATGTACATTTTGGGTAACTGGATAAAGATATTTTAATGCACTTTGTACACTTGCAGGTTCTAAACAAAAGGGTCTAAAACTTGATTTCTGAGTTTTTAAAAACTCATGGTCTCCAGGTAACAATAAATGCTACAGTTTGCCTTATGATGTTAACATAAAGCATTTCCTAGAAGGACACTATTTCCATGAATATGTTTTTCAGTATAAAGATGTTACTGCTCAGATTTTCACCGCAAGCTGTTTAGGGTGTGTTTTGACTATTTTTGTAAGGACAAGACAAATTCTGTTATAATTTTGTTGTGGAAGTCTTACTCTTGGCTAACTTAAAAACATCTTGGATGTAGCAGTTCCTATTTCCAGGTTGTCATTTTTACAGGAAAATATGTATATGGTGAAAGGCCACAGTGTTTAATTGCTGTAATAATGTAGAAAAGATTTTGTGTGGAATTTTTTTAAGTCTACAAATACATGATGTAAACATTTGCTGCAGTATAACTCTGCATTTCCTTTAAACAGACTGGCGCCACTCACAGGAAGCATTTCCATAGAGGGCCACAAGAGATGGCAGTGCTAATTAAATTAGTACAATGAAACTGATGAGATGCCAACAAAGGCTGTAAAGGCTTGGCACCATGTGTATGTGAATGACTCAGTTACCAAGTGCCCTGAGTGCAGAGGGCTTAAGCTTAGTTCTCTCTTCACTGTGATGAAACTCTTAGTGCTTTTTGAACACAAGACCAGCATTTTCACCTTTCTCTTGACCCTCCGTGTTATGTAGCCCATCCTTGGAACAGGACTCCAAAATATGGTACTGCTTTTCCTTGGATAAAGAGAGCATGGATCCAGCGTTGGATACTGCTTGTTGAAACTTGCCTTTGATTCGGATTGTTGAAGTCCGAATCTAAATAGTAGATTCGATGAGGGTAGGTGCAGGGTGAAGATTTTCTCTCCAGCTTTAAAAGAAAGTGACTTCAGAAAGTGACTGTAGAGATAATAGTTTCTGTTGGGGGGGGGGAAGCAACCTGAACACAGACGGACTTTTTTTATGGTACTGATAAATGGACCTTGAACTTCCTGAGGAATGAGCCAGTGCCCTCCGACTCAAGATGGATTTCCAGGAGCACATACAAATGGCTGCAGAGACATGTGCCTGCCTGTTCAGTGCATCTGGTGTTGGAAAGCTGACATCTGCTCTCTCCTGTTAAAACATCAATGGCATGCAGAGACAATGACACTGGCAAGTACTTCTCATCCAGGTCTTGATTTTGCTACCCGAGAAGACATTTGGCCATATCGGGAGTCAATTTTGGTAGTCACAAGCTGGAGACCTGGCATCTGGTGGGTAGAAGTCAGGGATGGCATTAAACATCCTACAGTGCACAGTGAAGCTCCTCACCAGAAAAGTGGTATCTGACTCAAGATGTCAGCTGTGGTCCTAGTTTAGCTACTCCTGAAGGTTTGCCTTTCTTCCAGGGACAAACAAACAAAAAGGCACAGCAGTCAATACTGTCACAGGAGTGGCACCTTCATCATCAAAATTATTTACAAAATACTTACAGAAAATCTGATTTCTAATGCAATCCCAGACTGTGTGAATGCGAATCATGGAAATAAAGTGCTGTGATCCAATGAGCTTAGTGTAGAAATGAGAAGGTTTTCTCTATGCCTCCTAGTACCAGCACAAATTCAATTCTGGTATTTGAGTCAACTGCCAAGCCCCTCAATCCTGAATCTCTTCTTGTTTTCTGTTGCTTCCTGGTTCAAAATAAAATTCTTTTTGTGGCACCAGAATAGCTCTTTGCCTGGCTTTGTTGCTTTTTGCCGCTTTACATTTTCACAGTCATGACCGGCACAAACACTTACTTGACTTCTGCTTGTTTCTTCCAATATTTTATACTATGCAATTCATTTTGTTTGGTTGCCTAAAATCGTCATATCCACTATCTACCATTCATCTATATTCAAAATATAGATATTTTACAAGACTGAAAATTCCCTACAGGGAATTTTAAAAAACAATGAAAGCAAACTTTTTAAGGAGTGGAAACCCAGAGTAAAGATTGCTTGATGTCAGGCATCACGGGGGTCAGAGAGAAGAGGGGAACAGTGACTGGCAGCAGAGAAACAGTGGTCTTCAGGCATCCTTCCGGGTGGTTTATTAGTATATACCCATGCCAGGAGCCCAGAAGCAGGCTTTTCCAGCCCTTTTAGTCTAGGTCAGTGTTAAGCAGAATGAGTTGCACGGAGCAGCAGTATCAGGGCCATCAAACACTTGTTGAAAAGGTCCTCTGTCTCTCTTCAGACCTGCTAGTCAGAACCTCTGAAGAAGTAATCTAGCAATTTGAATTACAAAAAGCCCCACAGTAAATTCTGGTACTGATGAGAGTTTAGGAGACACTTCTCTGCAGAAATCCCCAACTTCATAGCCCATATAAAAAGGTTTTTACAATCCAAAATGTGTTTCTAAGGCTAAGTAATATCAAAGCAAAATGTTATTCAGGGATAACTCGTCTGACTTATGAAAACATTGCACACATGCTGATCTCAGGGTCCTACTCTAAAAGATGGTGTGGCAAGGATGGGGAAACCACCAGCAGCATGGACTTTTCAAAAACACCATTTTAAAGCTCATCCAGGATTTGCAGTCAGTGCTAGGGCCCGAGTTGGTCACTTTATGGTTCAGATGGTGAATGCTAAGGTTTGCTGGCACACGGTCTCTGCCATGACTCTTGCAGTCTGTGTGGTCATAGAAAATATGTCAATGAATGGATGTGACTGGGAGCCAATAAAGCTTTGCCAGCAAGCCATTGTTTACTGTCCTCTGCTGTAGTGGACAGTGGACTACCCAAAACCCTTGGGCATTCTGTACCCTCTCACTCACTCAAGACTGGGCCATGTCCCTTTCATGTATCAGTGAGCTCTAAAAGTTCTCTCCAGCACTGAATTCCATCATGTCTCTGAAACCCATGGAGAACTGGTTATGGGCTACTTAAGATATAGCTATTCAATGGATATTGGAAAATTCCTCATTTGACAGACTAGAGTGGGGCGTGACAAAGTTCTAATGATTAGCTTTACAACCTTCATAATCTCAACTCAAATCAGACTTCTCGCAAGTGATAGGTGTGTAAAAGATATTCCCTTTGACAAGTGTTTTAAGTCCATTTCTCTTGAGCCTTTAAAGCACTACAGACAACACCATAATTAATCTCCTTTAAATGTTAATGTGAAGAGCATGCCAAGTAATTACCAAGGCAGCCCACATCCCATCCTTTCCTTTTAGTTTTAATAAGAGTAATATATTTATGTGGGTAGTTGCTTGTGATAATAAAAGTAGCACAAGAGGAAAGACATTTGGGACTTGTAAATTCCCTTTCTTTTACATACCAGCCTTCTCATGGAATACACATTTAGATAAAAATGGGTCTAGGACTTAAAGTAAATTCTTTCTTTAAGTTGCCCTAACTTAGTATGGGCAGTCCATGGAAATAAATGCAGTTCTCTCTTTGGATCTTTTTCAGTAATGTCCTCCTAAGAGAATTATTAAATTATGATTAGATAGGAAGCATAGCAATTAGCAAGCAAATATGTCATGGCCTAAAACCAATTACCAATTAAGAAATAGCACAGAAAAATGATTTAATGAACATTGGTTCTTTTGCACAGTCTATTTATTCTCAAAACTCAATTTTGATGACGGTCATTAAAAGCTGTTCAAATTCACGAATGCATTTCAAGCACTAATAATGATTTCCCCCTAAACTAATGGTATTTCCCCTCCAACTACTGTCCTCCTTCACCTCCTCTTCTTGCTCAAGCTTCCCAAAGGACTGTTCATACCTGCCATTGCTCATTCCTTACCCAGAATTGCACCTTCCAAAGTGCCATGACAAGTTCAGGGGCTTTCATTACACCAGAAAGTGCTCACTGATATGAGAAGTGACATCCATACTTCGGAAAACAAAATGTCCTCAGGAAGTCTCCTGTCATCTTGACATACAACAGTTTTTTGAGATATGCTAAGCTAACTCTTTTTTAATCTCCCTATACCATTGCTAATCATCACT